AATCACTTTCGATCTCATTGCCTACCGATCTCTCTCACTGTCTGTCTCTGTTTCTCCACCTCTTTCTCACTTTATCTCACGCTATCTCTCTTCTCTCCATCACTGTCTATCTATCTATCTGTTTATCTATCTCTTGTATTCCTTTGCCCTTCCCTGTTTTCTATCCTTCTCCCTACCGTTTCTCTCTCCTTCTACTTCTCTCCCGGTCAAACATTGCAATTTACTCTCTTCCCTACCTTTCATTCCATTTACCTTTCCCTCCATCCTTTTTGATATTTTTTTTTTGATATATATATATATATATATCTTCTATTTCTGTTGTTTGCCCCATCCTTCATCCTCTCCCTCTCACTCGCCCAATTTATTTCCATATTTCTCCATCTCTCTTCCCCCTCTCTCTCTCTCTCTCTCTCTCTCTCTCTCTCTCTCTCTCTCTCTCTCTCTCTCTCTCTCTCTCACACACACACACTTTCTCTCTCTCTCTCTCTCACTCTCTCTCTTTCTCTCTCTTTTACCCGGGACATGATTGAAAGAGAATCACTTAGCTCGCAGGCAATTGTCTTGCGTGTGTAAGTCCTCAACAAGTTGAATTAAATCTCCTCTAATTGCGTATATAGAGCTTTCTTTTTTTTCCCCTCCCATCCCTTGCAGCGCTGCGTTTACTTATGAAAAGATAACAAAAATCGCATGTCAAGTCCCGCTCGTATTACACGGGAGTTCATTTCTCCTTCCCCCTACACCATTTCGCGCCAAAATCATATCAGAATTTTATTCATATTGTCCCGTAAGATATCGTCTGCTGAGAGGCATAAAGGCGTGTACTCATGTACCTTAACACATTGTTTAAAGCCGTTTCGGCTCTCAACTCATGAACACACAACTGTTTCCGTTTACATTCAAACGTCTTGTTATCCATTGCCTGCTAAGGGCTAGAAAGGCGTATATCCTAACTCGATATTACACCGTTTTGGTTCTCAGTGTTTACTTACGTTAACATTGAATTTCATTCATAGTTTCTTCTTGTATACCAACTGCTGCGAGCGAGAACGCAGTTGTATTACACCCTTCTGGCTCTCAGCACGCCTTGTACACAACACAATGGCTCATTTACATTTACATTGCAATTAGCAACAACGAAATGTCTTTTTAAATTGTGTTATATCGTCTGTTTCGAACTAGAAAGAATGTAACCCTTTCTCAAAGGATATGAGTTAACGATCTTCTGGCGCTTACGTAAAGATTTGTGGGAATCTTCAATCTTCTGTTCTGAAGGGAAAAGGTTGCGACGCACCTCATCAAAATAAACGCATTGTTTAACCATCCTGCAAACAGTTTAACATATTTTATTTTTTCCACGCAAACTTTTCCTCATTAAAAAGAAAACTGTATCAAAGGCAGATGATACGATCTTACTAACAGACGGACATTGAAATGAGACGTGTGAAGAGTCCTCTTCATACATTACAAGCTAGAAGCGTTGCCATGGAAACATCTGTATACATACCGTGGTGATGCGCGCTTTCGTGTTGTTATGGACGGTGGAGTGTTTAATGCGCCTATTTTGGCGGGGGGCAGGCGAGTTGCAAAAACACGAATATTCACCTGCTATTATTATTGGGGGCTTGAAGAGAAAATCTAATTATTACAGTCTGATCCGTGTGGAGTGGCGATATTTAACTGTGATTGGCATAAGGCGATGTAAAAAGGGAAAGAACAAATCGATAATTTCTCAACTTATTAAGCTCACCTTCCTCAAATCCGTGGGCTTTGTTAACACTCTTATGGCTGGTTTTATATTAGGCCTAAATCACAGTCATTATTTTATAATGTTAACAAAGTTCTGATAACTACCGTTTCCCTCCTTTACAATAGAAGCTCCATTGTTATACAGACTTAACAAGTAATTGAATTTAAAATTATAGCACTCTTTAAAGTAAGACATAACACACAAATTTATATCAAAGCTAGAGTCATGATTAAAAATGACAGCGATTGTAGATGTAACTTATATGTTTCTATTGTACAATCTTTAATCTTATCATGAAAATATTTGTAATTTTTCAGCCAATATAGCCAATTGGAATGGTATCTCTAGATGTGGCAAGAACGAGTAGTAGATCTGATTCTATTTAGACCAAAGAAAATATGGGGGCATTGTGACGTCACGTGCTTATGAAGAACAACAAAGAGCGATGACATTGATAATGGTTGCTGACAGTGGGAAGAAAGAGAAGGGGGAAAAAAAAAATCACTTTTCTGCACGTGGTGTGTGCCTAGCGTTAAAACGAAATAAAGAGGAGAAAATTAATCTTCCCCGCACCACAACTCATCTCTCTCTCTCTCTCTTTCTCCCTCTTTCACTCTCACTCTCTGTCATTTGCCTCGTTTGGGAGTAGAGATTTTGGGCACGAGCCTGCGATTTGCATAACAAAAGAGATCTAAACCCTTCCGTAAACGAGGAGTCTATTTTTACGTACGCGTGCGCGCTCACCCGGTGATGGGAATGGCTAATTATACTCACGTCGTATATCGTTCCGTTGAGCGAGTGTGTAAACGTGACGGGTTAGACGAGGGAAATGCGCGCTTTTATGAGTTCGGCTTGAGCTGTGATTGGCCAAATCTCCTCATCAAAATTCATTCTGATTTCTCTCCCCGTCTTCCCCCACCTACCACTCTTTACCATCTTTAGAGGAAAGGGAAAAAATAATAACCGTTTCGGGTGAAGGACCAATAGAAAGTAAATGAAAGATGAAGGCATTTTTGAGAGGTAAACAGAGTTAAGTTTGACACGGTTAATACCAGACGCAGGGAGTCATCACGGGCTTGAACAGTTGAAGTTATCTTTTGGATTAGACGGTATACGTATAGGGAGAGACAGGGGGAAAGTAGTCACAGAGAGTCATAGAGAGAGAAAGAGAAAGAGAGAGAAGTGATAAGAGGAGCCTGTAATACGTGCGTGTAGTGAATGAAGCTTGATTCATCTCCGTGTTCATTCAGCGGGTCGGGTCGCTCATTTCTTAAAACTTCCTCTCTCCACATCCTCCGGATTTTGAGTTAACGAGCCAACGAGGAGAGATGTCAAGTACTCCAAGCAGATAGCTAGGTCTCCCTCATCACCAGACATCGACGAGCCGAATCATCTCCGCAGTCTGAATAATTAGCCCTCACCAACCGCTGATTTACTCTTCTTCCGGAGTTACTTTTCTAACGTTGTATTACCGTCCTTCATTCCTTTAATCAACGCGCGGTATTTTTTTTAGAGAGACTCAGCTCCAGAAGAGAGATTTCATCATGTTTTTAACTGGTATGTATCCCCTCTCTATCTATTTTTACCTCCAATTTCACCCATTTCTAGCTCCTTTCCCAGTGCCTCCTATTTCTCTAGCAAATGCCATCGCAAATCAAAGGCAGTGAGCATAATTTTCTGCTCAGGAAAAGTCGGGTATTTGTGAGTTTCCTGCAGCAAATTGGTTTGGTTATTCACCTCTTCCTTTTTGCGGGGAGGGTAATTTCCGTGATTGGGGGCCCCACCGTTTATCGCCGTTTCCTGCCCGAGCCCATTCCGGGGGACTCCACCGGTGCAGGGCCGAAGAAGAGCAGAGCTCGGCGGAAGAGAGGAAGGAAATCGACCAACTTCTTCATGCCGAACTCAAGTGCTCGTCCCTTAGTCCCGTGTACAGTAATAATTATGTCATCTCCCAGCGTCTCCCTTTTGCCTCCTCCTCCCTTCATCTTCCAAATCAACAAGATGACATCGTCATGACCAAAGGCACTTGTTATTTTCCACTTGCTTCCAAGGATTCTCATAGCGGACCATCTTCGTTCTGTTGGCAGTTCTTTCCTTCACCAATCGCTTTGGAATGTTCATCTCATCTTATGCTTTGCATTTTATCCGTTCAGGACCTTGGCGGAAAACCTAACCTAATCTCATGTCTTTCCTAAAATGGAGATGGCTGTAAAATGTCGACGAATCGTTGGTTGAAATCCTGCGATACAAGGAAATAACTTATGGGTGTTTTTAATCATCTTGGATCAGTTTTGCCTTTTTATGTGTTGCGTGGCTGCTTTGGTAGTGCTGGTAAAGACGTTTATTTCTAACTTGTCTAACGAAATGTTTGCTTTCAGCTTCCCAGCTGCATTAATTTAAGTTGCGACTTTTTGAATACATGTATTTTTTAAACCCATGTTTATGGTCAGTGAAATTATGAAGATATCGCTTTTCCAACTTCAGTTTAAAAAAAAAGACATCATCTTTACTCTTTCCATTGTAAAAGGAAATCGGGAAAGAGAGTACGGAACGAAGACAGCAGCAGAGAAGAGCTTAATTTGTTGTTTATTTTACTCCTACCAGAACCTGCGATTGTACATTATTACAACTTAAGGTGTTATTACACAATAATAATGATTTTGTATGGTCATGCAAAGGTTGCTTCGCGTGGGGAAAAGCATTGATCATCAAAAGCATGTTTATACGTGAATTTATAAAATCGCAATGCTGTTGTATTGTTATGTATTCTATGTGTGTGATTAAACTGTCAAGCAACTAACTGTAACTGCCAATAGTAGTAAAACGCACGCAGGTTTAAATTGATCCATATAATAGAAATTGTAAGCATATAAATTGTACAGTGATTTTCAGTATAAGAAGACGTGATGTGGAAAATGCCTTCTAAATTTGTATAGGAGTTCTTTTCATGTGAGAGCAGTTTACAGAGTTCCCAGAACATTTGGCTTTCTCATTTACTGATTGCCTTTGTTTATTTGTCTATATACCGGTATTTATCGAAGCATCTTTAATATGAATGCACATAACCTACCGGATGCATTGTGACGACTGATGTTCATAGCGGCAGCTTACATAAGTATTATGTCAATGAGGTGTCAAACACATATATCTGATAAATAAAAACAATCACCAAAACTTGTAAACTTCTATCTTTGTAGTAACCATGGTAACATAATTTCATATATTTCTTTCTCCTTCTTTCCTTAAAATTCAGAACCCTCATGTGATAGCCTTGTTGGAAGGGGAAGACCCAACGCTTGGCCCACCACCGTCCCATCCGCTGTATCCAAGGGTAAGTCACTGCACCCCTCTTGTACCCCTCCATTACCCCTCTTCCATTACTTTTGCACCCCTGCTCTTGCGGATGCTCCCTCTTGCTGAATAGAGGTTTAGTAGTTGTGGCGATGTTAAGAAGTTGCAAGGGTTGAACAATAAGAATGTTATTCATTGTGATATTATAAAAAAAACTATTTTGAGGCTGAAGAAACTGATTTGGAGTGTCTACCAAAAACTGGCATGGAATCAAATGTATTTTGCTACTTGGTCCACAAATAATCATAGGAATATTCATAGAAGGTGAATATTTTCAAATTGTGTATGAAACGAATCAATGATTATCAAAGGAACACAATTTCAAAGCATTTTTATTATTATTGTCATAATCATAAGAAACATATTAATGCTTCTCCTTTGTCTATGACTTTATGTTTGTATGTTTTAAAGATTTATATCTATTCACGTGACACAGTCCTCTCGATTGCAGGCCTGAGAATAGATTTTAAAATATCCGCTTAAAGGATAATTCAAACTTTACATGGTATAATCACAAGATATCCCCAAAATGCAATTATATCTATTGTGAAAAGACTTAAACGTTTGTCAAAACAGCCATTTAATATATCTAGGACAAGCGCCTGTGGCAAGGACAAAATATTCAGTTTCAGTCACAATTGAAACGGAAAATGAGATTTGCGAAGAGATTGCAAGAAGCAACAGTTTAAAGCGGGAAAAGAAGATTTTAATAATCAGCTTCTTTTGCGGGCGCACTTGTTCGGATTCCCACGCAGATTACAGCGGGACACCACCCCGCTGGCTTTCAGCCGATGCACCGTACAACACCGCCGCACGCGACCCTATCTCGGTGCGTTTTGTCCGCCGTGTGCCTCCGAATTCATTTAGGACCGTTTGCCTTGGCAACGCTCGCCCGGCTCAGGTGCGTGGGGCGTCGATAACACGGTGGGAAACATGTATGAAAGGGAGGGGAGAGAGACTGAATAAGAGAGAGAGAGAGAGAGAGAAAGAAGATTAGATAAAAGAGACGGTGTGATCGTATTTGCAAACAGAATTCTTAATTAAGGACTTTTATTCCAGTTTTAGGAGTAGAATAAAAACATATTACCCTGGAAATTTCACAGTTTGACATTCAAACTTCTCCCACAATCAAGATATAACACACATTTTGTCTGATTATCTCTCTTTCTCTCTTCTCTTCGTACAATAAAATCAGAATACACGAAGCACTGTCATGAGTATCATAATATCGCTTCACCGGTCGAGATTTCGCTGCAACCAATTACTGTCATTTCTATCTCGTGATCATGAGGTAATTGTGTACCGAGCAATAAGCTCACTGAGATAAGCAAACACCGTTTTCCGAGTTAATTTTGTCCCCTTTTGATCGGCGACCCGAGAAAATCGGCTCTGTATCTCATTTGTCATCTAGCGACAAGCCACAAGTCTTAATTTAATACTGAACGAATAGCTTGGTATCCATGCACAGGGCTGTATGATAATGGTTACGTGGGTCTTATGAATAGACTATTGCACGGAGGTGGAATCTCTGCATCGAGATTGTATCAAGTCCAGTTTAAGACTTGAATAATTATAGAGAATGCAAAATAATTTTTCTTCAATTCTCTGGCTTACCGAGCCTACTTTAATGTATATTTGCATGATCGTATATTTACATTGCGTATTAAATTTTAAAGGAAAGGGTATTGGAATACTTTAGCCGAGGAAATGAATATAGAACATCGATATTCATCTCTTCCCTCGCTCGATGAGTATGCTTATGTTAAACAAATGTATATTTAGACATATTGTAGATTTGAAGAAAAAACACGGATATAAAAGGAAACTGAAATTGTTCCCTCATATTTAGCATGTTTTTTTATCCTACAAGATTGCAGATACAAAAGAAACTGAGTAGATAATACATAAAACATCGTGCAATTAGAGTGCCCTTGCGGCCTAATAAACGCGTATTTATGCCCTTATCGCTAAAAGAATAGAATGGTGCCATTTTGTAATGACGATATATATACTTAAGTATGGTTGTCGAGAGCCAGAAGGGCACAACTGTTTGAATATATGGTTTAATGTCCTTCTGGCCTTATAATCAGACGATATACGCGAAAATGTTCATCTTTTGATATGTTCTCATGACAAAAATCAACGTTAACGGGAGCTCATGACCCTCGAATCACGAGTGAGAACCCCTAATAATATCCATGCCCTTCATCAGCATCCCCCGACGAATAGTGAACAAAAAACGCCCATTCCATACTCATTTAAAATGTTTCAACAGGACTGCGGGTCTGTTATTTTCTAAATATGGCGATCATGAAAATGAATGAACACGAACCCGCGAGCATGAAAACACGTCACAGTCTTGTATATCAATTGATATACAACTTCTCTTCCAAAGGCGGTACTATTATTGCTCGATTCGATATGACAATGATAACATAACCCTAACATACTACTGATATCACCATTGGGGGTAGGTTCATTTACACTACGATCCGAACGATCCGAAGCGTCATTTCCCTAATCCAGCCATTGGAGAAAATTATCTCATACTAAGGGGGGGGGGGGGGGGATGTTTCACAAAGCCTTTTTTCAATGACAAATGACAAAAATCAGTGACAAATGTGCTGATAACCAATCAGGAGCAAGGATTTTACTAGCATACCAAAAACTGTCATATTTTGTCACTGATGACAAATTTTGTGAAACTCCCCCTGTAATAGCACTGTTGCTTGTGTGTTTATTCTCTTTGCACGATATCACTCATACATGGTGTGTCAATTAAAGACCACATCAGTCGCTGACGCAGTCCTGTGTCATGCGAATGAATGAAAAGGCCAATCCTGGAAAGACAGGCTTTCCTATTTGTTGACATAACTGCCAATAACGCATTTTTTTTTAAATCCCAAATTACCATCGTGACGTTAACCCATTGCACACAAGTCGCTACCCCCCTTTGCGTTATAGCCAGCGTCAAAAGACAAATATCTCAAACAAAAACAAGGTTTGCACTAATTATTTTATATTCACTTTTCTGTGTATAACTTTAACCTCAAATGGCGCGCGTCAAAGACCACGCCAGTGGCTGACGCATGCCTACGCCATTAAATGACGTTTCGTACGTGTGCAACGGGTATTCAAAAAATCGAATAGCTTGAACTGCAGTGTAAATGGGACCTCTAGCATAATATCTCGTTCTGTCTAGCTCATGTTAAGGTTTTCAACTAACCACACCACCGTTAAGGACATGATAGTATTTCCCACGAGGATTTAGGCCTCGATTATTTTCATTAGACGCTGATCAATATGGCATTGACGTTATTAATGTCTGTATTTTTTCCGAAACGCACCGGGCCCAATATCAAATGCAGGTAGATGATACGCTGTAATTACCTCGACAATCATGACATTTTGAGGGTCGGCAGGGAAACAAGATGGCGGACATGTCAAAAAGTGGCACGAGCTTTTTGTTAGTCCTATTAGTGATAATACTTCTCTAGCTAGAAACGATACAAAAAACAGTCTGATATCTGCTGATATTTACTCTGCTACGTAAAATAGTTATCTTCTAATAATATGAAATACTACTATAATTACCTTCTTATGCGCAATTTTGAAAAGTATTGATTGTGTACAAGCTATAGCATGTAAGGATATTTTCTCATATTGCCATGCCAAACATGACACATCGAACATGTCAAAAGATTCCTTAGAAATGTTTCAACTGATTCGTTCAAAAGGTCAAACTAAACAGAAAGAATCATGCATAATTATATACATATATATAAATATATATATACATATCATATTTTATAAATCCACTTATAGCAAGAACTCTGGTCGTGTACGATCGTTTACCAAGATAAAAGCTGATTATATTATTTTCATTCTTCTTCCCTACTCTCTCTCTCTCGCTCTTTCACTCTGTTCGTCTGTATATGTCACTAACTCACTCTCTCCAGCTCTGTATCCTCCTTTTTATTTGTGTCATCCCGTCTACATATCTATCTCTTTCTACATCCCTTGAAAGAACATCATTGTCGCATACTGACAGCCATTCGCGATCGATTATGGGATAAATATGACCCAATTCGAATTTCTGACGACCTCAACCTTATACGCTCTTGAGTAATGTTAATCGTTCTTGACAATGCCTGAGTCATCGTGAATACTATCAGGACCATTTCGATCCAAGCGTATTCTTCCGCCAACAAAGGATATGTATAACTCTGCTCAGTAGCAGTGGGATATATTACAGGGCGGCTGTTTTGATTTAACAAAAATAAACAAAATGGTTTACAATACAAGCATGCTTTCATAAATTAATAGGCCTACAACAAAAGCATTATTTCTGTAAACACAATATTTCTGAATATCGTGTTGAATAGTCCGTAATACCTTTATCTTTACTTTGATGTAAAATATTTACCAATGCTTAGTGCAAGTTTAGTTTGTCGGCAATATCGCCATTGTAATTAATATCACTGACACCACTACCACCACCATCATGTATTATCGTCCATATTCTTCACAATGGCAAGCACACGCATTTTAAATGATGTTTTCCATGCTACCACCATGTTTCATTTCAAAAGAAAGTACTAAAAATCATGATAACAGAACAACTCTTTACAACTCGTTTTTTTGTACACCAAACCGTCATTACCACCTTCTGATTCACGATATCCACACTCGTCTATATCACCATAGTCATCATCATCCTCATCATCATCAACCTCATCATCACCATCATCATCATCATCACCATCATTTTCATCATCACCATCATTTTCATCTTCATCATCTTCATCATCTTCTCCATCATCATCATCATCATCATCTTCTCCATCATCATCCTCATCATCATCATCATCATCATCTTCATCATCATCCTCATCATCTTCATCATCTTCATCATCATCATCATCATCTACATCATCATCATCATCATCATCTCCATCATCATCATGATCACCATTATCA